TGTGAGGGTGGTTGGAGACTTGAATGACCACATCAAACAATTCATCTCTCAGGGGCCGTGTTTTCTCGTGGCCTTCAAGTGGTCCACTCTGATTTCACGTTTCTTTGTGACCCACAAGCACCCCCGTGTCTGAATCAACTGGATGGTGGGTATGGTGAGCTTGTGACCTTGCCAATGCCCTGGTCCATCCCTGGTCCTTAGTGATGGATTGATCGACATTTCTGCGGTACTCCTTCACCTTTTGGCAAACATCCCCCCCATCCTTCCCACCATGATCGAATCTGTTGACATATCATCTATTATCATCTCAAAGTAATCTTTCGATGTCTGTCGGCTTTCCAAGTTGGTTCAGAAACGGATTCCAACACATGTTTAAAAATACAGTGGGAAGTCCCGTTTCACCATGTCACATGTTCGTCCTCACGTCCTCCCTCACGAGCGACTCCAGGGTCGCCATCACATCGTCGATGTGGCGATCGATGAAGATCACCTAAGGACCACCCGATGCCGCCGATCTGGAGACGGATCGGCCATGAGAACACGTGAAGCTCCAAGGCCGGTCGGTGGATGAACCCAAGGCCACTGCACAACTGCAAAGGTCGGAGAATCGAAGTCCATGCGTTCCAAGCCTCAACTAGCAACTCAACTAGCAACTCACCAAACATCATGTCCTCCGCTTTTACTGTCCACGGATATCACATGCGTGGACCTGTCTACGGGAAGGTGGTTTAGGCTCGCTGCGTGATCGTCGTCATGTTTCCCTTATTATTATCGCTTTGTTATCGTTTTCGTGCCTGGTTCAAACCCAGCAAAGAACACACTGAATCCTTATCTGGGGATATTGCGTCTTTCGTGCCTTATCGTTTGACAGAGTGCAAAACGGACATGCGAAAATCACTCTCTTTCATGCCTGTTCTCTTACTGAACAAAGGACCCACGGCCTTCGGCATAGAACCACCCAACCCCTGGACAATGCCACCTCTGAACGCCTCTGAAACTCCAAATGGTCGAAGTGAAGTTCCCCACCAACTAGAGGAAGTGATGGTCATCCGAGCCTTTGGGAGCCATGACATCACCAACGTTCGGCTCACACATGCCGACATGCATCCAAACCAGTCCCAACATCTTCCTGTTGGTGCGACATGCCGAAGCAACATCTGATTCTACAGCACCAATGATCTCCACCAAGCAAAAAAGCAAAGATCAGCCGAAGTACTCCGTCCATCCAATCCAATTTATCATCCAATCCATCCATCCGCCCAGTCCTCCCTATCCAACTCTCCCCTCTCGATCCCACATCCGATCCACCGGGCGGTGGCTCCGCAGCAGCCCTAAGCCACGCTCCGTCTCGATGATGCCGCCCCCTGTGGCGATGACCTGTCCGCTGTGATGCCCACTGCGCACGAGACCAAGTCTACTGCGCACGATGCGCAGGGGGAGGCTTTTGGGGTTGGGGAGATACCGTAGGTTTTAGATGGGCCGGTCATCACATAGAATGTGATGGGCCTGGAACGTGGGATTCGGATGGATCCGGGTGGTTTAATACACTAGCCTGCCAGACGACTTGTTTACCAAGTTCTGATACACAAAGCATCACAAAACCCATCTGAATCACAAGCTCTCACCAAGTTGAAGCCCGGCCTTCGCCACTCCTTGCGCGCGCGCCGCTGCCGCGAAAGTGTCACCTTCCAAGGTTCGAAAAGCCTCCCAGCCTGCCGCTGGTGCCGCTGGTGTGGTGCCGGATCCAGTATGCTTCCAAAGCAAAAAGGCACTGTCTTCCGGCATGTCTTCCCTAGGGTTCCAAGTACCTTCTCAGAAGGTGATTGGAGACACTGTTATGTAGGTTTGGAGGATCCAGTCAAACCTTCTGAGAAGGTGTGACTGGATCCCTAGAAATCCTAGAAAAGGAACCTGTTGCTGTTGCTCAAAAAATGTACCAAGAGGTATCCCAACCTCCTACCTGGCATCATGCAAACTAACTACCCACCTGCAAACTAACATGAACCTTTTGTTTCTGCGCACCGGCTTTCTGCAAGTCCTGTGAGGGCATCACTTCACCTTCGCACTGCCCCCTTGAACAATATGGACCCTGAGAACCAGTGTTTACAAATACATAACAAAAACGAGCAGCCGCTTTTCGGGATTCTGAGAGGCCTGGCTGCCAGGTCTTCCGAAAATCAGCCATGAAACCGACCGCCGGGAGAGGAGGGCACCAAACAACGGAACGCCACGGAATCGGTCCCACCAGCCTCGCCTGATTCCGCCACGATCTGCGGTGGCAGCTTGCCACCGGAGGCGGCTGCCATGGCCTGACACAGGGTAAGACATCGGAAGAGAAGTAATGTGTCTACAAACAAAATGCACATACATATTGCATTACTATGTAAATAAGACGTTCTGAGGACGTTCTATGTATGCACGTATATATGCATGACGTTCTAATTCTATACTTCATTACTCTTCATTGAAATTCCTATAGGCATTGATGAATCATTGATGTGTGAGCAGGGGGTGGTGCACTTCACTAAACAATCAGAGCTCAGGCATTCTCAGGCGACTTCTTGGCTCGGGCGTCTCTGTTATGTCACACTCTAGCACCCAGGTCAACAGTGGTCCCTGGTAGCGAGCTTCGCACCTAGCTTACCCATGAGAACGATGAACACACACGGCACACGACACAAGAACAACCAACATCCTCCTTGTTAAACATCCTCGAACCCGTCCTAATCAACATCACCAGCCTCTTTCTCTCCCACTTCTCTACCCCAAAACCAGATCCCTCTTCCCAGCCCAACATCCTTTCTTCCCTCTGCGAAGACTCTTCGGTCTCCTTCCACCCACAGCCCATCAGCCCATCAGCTTCTTCGCTTCCGCTTTCACTTCCACACCTCGTCCAAGTCCTCAAAGTCGAAGCCCAGCAGCTGCGCGACGCCCCTGCCGAGCGTGGTCTTCCCCGCCTCGGAAGAAGGGAGCAGGCAGCGCCTGGGGAGCTGGACACTTTTGGGCTCTAAGAAGCTAAGAAAAACCACTGGCTGGGCCGTGTACTCAGAGTGAAAATATGGCATTTTGGCTCAAGATTCAATATCACATGCAATCTTTTTCACTCGCCGGGCCGTGTACTTGGCCTTTACAAAGACAACGAGTGAAAAAAAACGGCCAGCACAAAAGATGTGATGCTTATAGAACCACTTTGGAATTCCTGTTTCACAAACAAAAAGAAAGACGTATTATTGTTTTGTTCGTTATTTTTTGTTGTTTCCTTTCTTCCGCTTTATTGTTTCATGATGCTGCTCTGTGTGGGTCATCCGACAAAAAATTCGACGTGACGCTCATCGCACCATCCGCCAAGACTCTCCCCTCATGCCGATGAGCGCAACCTGAAGGGAAAAAAAACCACACGGTTAACGGAGTCAACGGCTGCTTGAGTGGCCTGAACATCACTGAGAGGCTTATTGAGAAATGGCGAAAAGACATGTTTCCAAATGGTGAAGACACATGAACAATTGAAATGGCTGTGGGTCAAAACCAAGCTACATACATTTGTTGACCTCCCTGGAAGGTTATTTTTTTGGGGGGCTACATGGTGGACCAGGGCTGGTTTTGACCCATCTTGAAATGGCTCGCAGCCAGGAACTCCTGAGGCACCTCTTGCGCAGATCCGATCCTTCCATGGCCATGTCTCCCAGTTGGATCACTTTCCAAGTAAATTTGGGATTCATTCCAAGCATTTAGTAGCCAAAATGTTCTTCAACACAAACTGAAGCTCTTCGGGTTGAAAAACAAAAAGCGCAGGAAATTGAACTGGGGTGCTTTCACAAGAAAAAGTGACGAAACTGGTCCTTGATGGTCTGGGATCAGCACGGCGATCGGCCGGTTCTGGCCAATTAGGTGGTCTCTTTGAATCTTCTCGAAACGTGCTGCATGTCCTTTCTATCCAATTGCGTGGTCAAGAATCGCGAGGTATCCCCCAAATTGGTCTTAATTAAGGTACTGCTGATTCACGGGTAGCCCCTGTGCGCTTGTTGAAACATCTTGACCCTCTTTGTAGATAGACACTAGGCCTTGAACACACGTACACACTGTGTCATCTGGTGAAAACCAGCCAATCTGTGAAAATGTCATGCAACAAACAAAGGTGCTCAAATCGAGTCCCTCATAGGAATTGTGTTCGGTTACATTACTTGTGTCCCCAAACCTGGTTTGCAAGTTTTCTGTACCAAATGAAGCTCCAGGTTCAGCTATTGCTTGGTGAACTTCCGGTCACTGTAAGGAGCTTCTCCAAGCTTTTCGACATGTTGGATGAGCATCTAGACACCAAGGGTCATCATGTGTCATCTGTGTCGGGCCAGCCCCGCTTGACATCCACTGCCAAGGTACCACAGGTGGCTCGCCCATGGTGACACACGATGTGCATGTACCACAGCAGGCGCCAGCGGGTGTACAGCAATGTTCCTAAGGAAGCCCTTAAGACTTAGCATATCTGTATATGTTCGATCACGATCGTCTTCTAAACGCATCTTTCAGTCGATTTGATCTTTTTGATTTATATTGGGCAATATTGGGCAGGCATAGACAAGCTTGGACAATTGTTCGACACACACACACACACATCCCAGTCCCAAAGGCCATGTTTGGAGTGGGGTCGCTATTGATGGCTGGCTGGGATCTTCCTTTTTAATGACTCAAAGGGCGCTCTGCTTATACGGTGTCTCATAGTGAGCGAAGCTAAGCTTGACCATGAGACACCGTGAAGCCGTGTCTAGTCCGCATAGAGCTTGTCGAGGCCATCTCGTGGCTCATGATAATCGTGATTTGTGATGATCTATTCCTGAGCCATCCCTCGATGATGCAAAGCATGATCGATTAGGTTGCCCCCAGTTGTGTTTTCAGAAATGGTTCCTCGGGCTAAGGCACCAGCTCTAAAGCTTCTCCAAAGTGACTTCTGTCAAATGATAGCAATTTGTTCAATGTCTCTCCTTACAGGCACAGTAATTATGATTGACAATTATGGTGCTCACCCAAAATTGCTATATAATAATACCTATATACTTGTATACCGTATACCTCTGTGTTTCTTTGTCCCATCTGCCTGTTTATTCTCATACTCAACGTCAAACCCATCGGTTCACATCCTCATGCTGATGTCAGAGGCAAGGACATCCGACCCGACATCAGGATCTGACCAATCTTTGTGGAATTCCTGTCCCATTGCCAATGAAACGATTGAATTAATTATTCACAAGCACTAGCCTTCGCCATCCCCAATCAAACACGCTCCGACCACCGAAACCGACCCCAGTGTGGCGCCTCCAAATCGGCATCGTGCCCAACCAATCTCCACCCCCCCAAGGGTCCTCTCGACCGTTTGGATCAGATTCGGCACTGTCCCACGGACCGCTGCTGCCACGTTCTGGGCTCCCGCCGCCCACGCGGCCCGCGCGGAAGTGCTCCGGATTCACACGGCCTCGGGGGCGTCTTGCCGTTGGGGCGGTTGGGAGGGTTGGGACGAGCCGTGGGCCCTTGAAACCAGCACCACGGCCTGAAGTGCCAGGATGGTGTCTTTAGACGCCAAGGTGCGTAGATGGAGCACCCCCGAAAAAAAGAAAACCTCCAAGAAGCACCCCTCCTTTGGAACTGCTGGTGCAGTAAAGACGTCTAGACCATCGAAATTCTAGCAGGTGCGTCTCTCTCCTGATATCTAGCGCATCTATGTGCCTCCATTGTTTTGGAACACTGAAGTTGGGTCAAACAACAAGGTGGCTGACACTTTCATCTTCAAAAACCTCTCCAAGTCTCCTGTCGCTCGTGGTGGCTGGCGGTGATGGCGGTGACTTAGTTGTTCGATGTGTTCTTGTTTGAAGGTGGCTGGGTCTTCCTCACATGGTGCCTACGGCTCCACAAAGTCCATCGATGATAAAGACCGGTAGAGACGTGGAAATCAACAGTTCATTCATGTTCATCAAGATTTGTTCTAGATCTTGTGGATCTACTCCGGTTGAACTAACCCTGCAGTGTATCATGGGCTGCTTGCAACAAACATAGCCACACTTGCTTCTTCATAGCCACTGCCCGGTATTTTGCTTCGCCGAATCCGAGCAGCAGCAGCTGAGTCCATCTGTGAGGGAGCCGTGAGTCGTCAAGAAGAGTCAAACAAAACTTGTAGATGCCTTTACTTTACTGTTTTGGATGAGCTCATTGCCTTTTGGGCCACAGGAAAGGATTGAACCAAAAGAAACATGGAGTGTCTGGAAGTTCAACGAGTCGGTGACAATCTCAGTGATTTTCGTTATTTGGTGCTCCAGTCTCTTGCAAGATCGTGCGTTCTGCTCCGTCTGCTCCACAGCTTCTCCCTCAAAAAAGGAGCTCTTAAAGCTGGGGCGGCCACAGGGATTCCACACCTGGGAGCTTTAAGTCGTGGCGAGGGCACTCTGCCGTCAATTGAGCAGTGTCTTGAGCCGTCTGCATCCTGTGATCAACAAAAGGGAGGAAACTCGATGGTTCCTTTTAGATTTTTTAGATAAAGAGCCTGCAAAGAGATGTAGGAGAATCTGCTCTGAGCCTGAACTAAAACTTATCAGGTGCAAAGTGTTCTGGTGCTAGAACTGCGGCCATCATTGCTTCAATCTTTGGTAATGACATGTAAAGACACAACTCAAGGCGGCACTGGCCTGAGATTCTATACACCACCAGGAGAAGTTCTTCAAATGGAACCGATTTGCCGTGGCTGACGGTATTTCTGCGAGTCAGCGTAGCCGGCAACACTTCCCAAGCGGGAGTTCTTCCAAAAGATCTGGCACTGGAGCCTCTGAGAGCGTCCATTTCTAATTCGTGCCTTCCGAAAATCATTGGCCGTGCAAGCCATTTTGCCAAGGAAATCTTGGACATCCACAATGCATTCCAACAAAAAGAATGACACCTGCGGTTCCTAGAGAGGTCTTCTGCATTGAACTCTTCACTTCATGAACCACCATGGTTGATTAACACTTGGGTGTGCCTTTACATAGGGACCCCCCTTCCTTCTTCCAGGGGGTCGAACTGGGAGGTCTCCGTATTTAGTGCACATCCACAATCGAATGAAAATAACATCACATTTATCTCAGCCCAGCACCTTGAAGAATGACCGAATGAATGTGGATATGTGAATGTGGAGTTGTGCCAGTGCATATCCCTCCAAGTTGAGTGGGGCTGATCAGAATTCCAAGAAGGTGCCCATCTAGAGGTGTCATGTAGGCAGGTCTGGTTGGGAGTTAAGCCATCAGACCATCAGTCATTTGAAGGAGCAACTCCTCCAAGTCAGTTTGCTCCAAGCAAATCTGGCATCTCAGTGCCCACCTTAAGGGCCCTAGGGGCCCACGATTGGCCTGGCTTGCACTAAGTGAATCTCTCGACGGCCCCCTGACTCAAGCACCACACCCTCCATGTCCATACCAGTTCCATAACCTCCGCATGGCTGCGGTGACAACATCAGTGGCTGGACCATGCTGGATGAGGAGAAAAACCGACCCTCTTCGGCTCTTCGATCCTGTTCTTAAATTGGACAAGCTTGCAGTGCAAGCAAAAGAAACATTACACAAATGGTCAGCAACACCGCGAGGCGACCTTTTTTTTTGCGGGGATGTGGGCCAGGCGGCTGGACACTTCCCACATCTGTCCTAAGCCTTATAAGGTCTAATATTAAATCTAGACAAATACCCAGACACTCCATGTATGACGTATATGCCTACATTGACCCCTGAAACCACCCCAATGTAGCCAGATACTGTAGCCAAACAGTACGATGTCATACATAGAGTGTCTGGGATACGAATCTGCTCGAGTTGAATCTCATTGATTTGGGAATCTTCTGGGTGCCCGTCTCTCGGACCTCACCACCGCTCACCACTTCCCACGTCCAACACGCCCAACATCGCCTTTCCCAACAACGCCCAACACGCCCACCGTGGACGTTTCGCACGTTTCTTCCCGCGTTCTTCCCGCGTGTGCGCTCCCGGCGTGGACCGCCTTGCTCGATGCCCACGGCCACCTTGGCGATGTCGCGAGCCATCGAAGTCAAGTAGTCTCGGTTGGTGCTCAGCTGTTCCTGCCAGGCAGATCGGCAGGCAGGAGATCCCAAGAGTCAGTCCCGTCTGTTCGTACGTCTTCCGAAACGTTCTTCGGTGATCGCCAATTTGGCCGCACACTTGGCTAAAACTTCACCAGTGGAGTTGCCTCATGTTGCCTATAGTAGGCAGATTTCCATTTGCTTCTGAATGGCGCCAGTTCCTTTGTAAAGAAACCCTTGCGCCACATGATTTATGCAACATACTGCAACCACTGTCTATGCAATCGAACCCGAGCTGGGTGCCATTCCTTGGAGTAGTCCACCCGCACGTGTTGCAGGCCATCAGGCAAGTCCTGCACGGCGGCGGTGGAACGCATTCCAAATCGGGTGGGAGGATATACCACAGGGCCAAGCGATCACGGCAGAAAAAAACTGGAACAAGCACAAACCCAAATCATTCTAAGTTCTAGTAGCTTCCCCGGAAAGACCGATAAACAGGGCCTTAGGTTCCACCCGTTCCTGTCTTCAATTGACGTGGGACATCGTGTGACCTTCTCCCGAAAAAGGTGGGCCTGCAGGTCAACCTCCGAACTGGTCACCTCTCCTCCGGCACATTCACTACACTTGTGAGTTTGAGGTTAGTGCCAAAAAAATATTTCATTGATTATTTTCTTTTGCGATTATGTTATGATTTTGTTATGATTTTGATACACTGTGGGTTATGTTTGTTTTATGGTTTTTTTATGCGTGTTAAGGAGCCCTTGAATTTGATATGAAAATGTTTATGATTTTCTTATGGTTTTAAACTGCCACCAAAAAGTATTATGAAAAAGATATGGTTTGAGAGTGTTTTTTGAGTACTTCAAAAAGATCGCCATATAATTGTGAAAATATGGTGCGAATATGTTTGCATACTTGAAAAATAGTGGTTTGGTTAAGAAACTAAGTAAGTAAGCTTCACCAGCGAAGGGAAGTTGTTGAACATTCCAAGGAGGCACCCCAAAGCTCATGCCCAAGCAACGTAGGGACGCTTGGCGTCCTTTCTGTTGATTAGCTTATTAGTAGCTATTGAGCTATTGCCTTACACATCCTTCTGCCTAGGACCCGAAGGAACGGTGTGTAGTAGAGAAGGAAAGGTGTACTGTCCTAGTGACCCGAAGGAAAGGTGTACTCCCCCAGGCGTGTCCTAGGCCCTAGGCCAAAGGTTAAAGCCTGAACCCTAAGCCCTAAACCTCAAGCGTCAAATTTTTTGAGGTGACCCAGGCAGGGTGAGACCACCTGCGGCCCACCATATCAAAACCATAACAAAATCATAACAAAATCATAAACAAAATCATATCAAAATCATAACAAAATCATAAAACTAATTCCCAGACCCATGTTTTTATGATTTTGATATGATTTTGATATGATTTTGATATGATTTCGTTATGCAGGGCCTTATGGATTTCTTATGTTTTTGTTACGCTTTCAGACGACCAATGGTTCTGAGATATGGATTGCTTGCAGTTCCCAGGTCCCAGGCCATGGGTGGATGGGTAGTTTAGGGCCTAGGGCCTAGTATAGAACCTACTGTCCTAGGCCCTAGGCCAAGGTGTGTACTAGACCCAGGTGTGCTGTCCTAGGAAAGGTGTGAACTCATGTATGAAGGCCAACTCCTCTCTGCCTTCATTAGTGAAGAGGTTCCTTTGGGAACACTAGTCACTAGTCACCAGTTAGTTCTCAAAACCCATCATACAATAGAGACTATTCTATTCCTGAGTAGTTTTTAGTTGCATTTAAAACCAACCAGAAAACGGACCAAGAGACTTGCAGAACAACAAAGATTTTTCGCAGTTTGCCAGGTTTTTCTGAAAATACAAGCAGAGGAAATCTTGTGAAAATACACCACAAGTTTGGCTGAACACACATCTCAACTACCATGTTTTGCAACCCAAAAGGCTCTGTATATGTGAAATTGCAGACCTCAAAGAGCATAACGAAACCATAAGCAAATCATATCCAAAAACAAACCCACCAAAAAATCATAAAATTTCATAAAGTCAATCGTAACCAAATCATAAGGAAAACGTAAAAAAAACATAACAAAATCATAAAAGAAAATAATTTAACATCATATTTTTGTGGCCTACCTCAAACTCACAACACTACACCTCCCCTCCATCTTCCCGGGATACACCTCCCTTTCCGGCTCCTCTAAGCCCCTGGAGAAGCTCCCCAGCGAGGCGATCTTCACCTCCATGGGCTCCCGCTTCTGCACGGTGAGCCGATAAGGGGTGCCCGGCTCATTGGCCGAGGCCAAGGTCTCTCCCAGACCGATGCCTCAGCTCTGCTCCGCTCGGTGGCGACCGCGAGGGTGACAGGGTGAGGAGCTGGTGGAGAAGGGGTTCGGGAGGAGGATGGGGGGGCCGGGGGGTGTCACA